ACACACGTGTCATTTAGAAAACCGCTTGACCAGAGTCTTGGCTGGGAGGTGCACAGACATGAAGCCGGCCCAGGCCCAGAGTGATGGGTCAGTTGAAAGGAGACTGGGACCTGCAGGGACAGTGGGAGCAGCAGAGGCTGAGGGCAGCCCAGTGTTAGCCTGGCTTCCCTCATGACCAGCTGAGATGGTGGAAGTGTACCTTATCTTCCTGACTTCACCCTGAGTTGCTGCTCTTGCGATTAAGTCAGCACGTCGACAAAAGAGAGAAACTTGAGCCGAATACAACAGACACAATGATCGGTGCAAAGAAGTCACCCATGTACTTGTTTCCTCTCCTTGGAGCCTCTGCACAGACGGATCCTGGTGGCACGGTGATCAAGCAATCAACTTCTAGCCACTGGGTCAGCATTTCAAACCCACCAGCTGGGTTTGCAATCTTCCTGGAACGTGCAGGTGAAAACGAGGCTTTCTGATTCCATAAAGTCTGAGTGTGGGAAACGCTAGGGAGAAGTTCTCCTCGGTCCTATGCTGTGGCTGAGTTGCCATTGACTCACTGGGCATGCACAGTAATGTATTAGAGTATTCTCTTCAGCTCAGCTTTTGTTACAAGTGAATGACTGACCCATAACCTCTAGGAACCATCATCGAGCCTGCCGTTTAAGAAATAGCTGTGGAAGAGCCCTGTGAGCCTTCGGTCTGCCCGTCTCAGCAGGAGCACAGTAGAGGACAGTGGTCTCACACTGACTTCGAGCCCCGGTCTCTGCATCCACACCACGGCGAACACGGGGAGCCTCTGTGGAGAGGCTAGCCCATCAATCCAGCAGTGATTACTAGTAATTGCCTAACTGCTCTCGCCGCATATGCTGTTTGGGTGCAGAGCAGACCTCCCGGATCTACCACTGAAAAGCACTTAGCCCATCTCCCCACTCGGAAGTAGTCGTCTGGTCCTTCTGAACGTACGTCGTTCCCCCGGGGACAAGCACAATCTCAAGTTACCTCGAAATGGCAATTAAATGGAATAACATTAGCTTCCTGCGGAATCTTTCCAAATGTGATTCCGGGTCGGAAAGCACTGCTTTGCCCTTCTGATTTGAAAGGAGAATCCATGTTCCTTCTCTTTCAGTCATGCTCCCATGCTTATCCAGAACATTAGCACCAGTACACCCTAGAACTCAACACATTTAGGGTTTGAGGAAAAGAAGGGGGCAAATAGCCCCTTCCTTCACCTCTCCAGGGGCGTCCAGGCTGCACCTTTGGGGTTGGCAGGCCCTGGGGTGGCCCGTGTAGATAGATGGTGACATGGGTGGGGTGTAGGTGAGAAACTGCCTCACATTGCCCAGCTGAAGCTTTCCTTCCTTGGCGAACTTGCTTCGAGACATGGGACACTTGCAGAGCCCAGAGCTTTCTGGATTGTGGGATCGCTGACAATCGGTCATGGACATGCATAAAAAATATTTCCCCCTGGATGTTGTCAGAAGCTATAGGCCTATGTGTGTGCGCACCTCTCTCTCTCTCACACACACACACCATTGGAAACCCCGTGGGTACAGCTCTACCCAATGAGGTAGTATCTCTAGTGTCCTTGTTCTTGGATGCCATCCAGTTTGTTCTGACAGTGTCCCCGTGTGCGGCCTAAGGAAACACCACCCAGCCCAGCACCGCCCTTACCATCTTTCCTCTGTTTGCAGCCACTGTGTCAGTCCATGGCCTTGAAGGTTTTCCCCTCTGTCGCATGACATTCCTCTCTGGGACTGGCCCCTCCTGATAACCAAGCAACATGAGACATCTCGCTTTATATCTGGACAGTGTTGGTCATCCTGGCAGGCAGTCCATGGCATGTTTAATGGTGCTTTGTAGACAATGCCAGGCGTAACCACCATCAAGTCCATGGTGACTCACAGAGACCCTCGTGGGTTTCTGAGACTTCCACTATTGATGGGAGTAGAAAGCCCTGAGGAGTTGCCAGTGGTTTTGAACTGCCAACCATGCAGATTGTGCAGATTGCAGCCCAACTCGTAGCCACTAGAGCACCAGCGTTGTCCTTTTGTGGACAACACAGTTCCACATAAATGCCAGATGTTCTTAGATTTGAATTAGAGTAGAGGCCACTTGGACTCATTGATCACTGTAAACACCTAAGTGTTAACATGATACTTGGCCATGCAAGGAAATATGGGTTGAGTTGAATCTGCTTTTGTCTTTCTTGCCAGTCATGAATTTATAAGCCTCCATGCATTTGAGACATAAACCTGGAAACAATGTATCTTCGGCTCGGCACACCCAGGCTGAGAGTGACTTATAACATTACTAGATCAACTGCCAAAGTCCCTGAATGTTCCAATCTGGCTGCTAGTCTATGTAAGGAAACATGCTGGGATAAGGCGTCTCCAGACAAGTGCTGCCTTTGTTCCGGATGTCTAAGGAAACCCTGGAGTTTGCCACATGTTTGCTTAGGCTTAGGAATAAACCCCACTGCTGCTGAGGCGACGCCGGCTCCAGGGAACGCCATAGGACAGAGCGGAATTGCTCCCTTGGGACTGCCAGTCTTGTACCCACTGTGTGGTTGCTGGGCTCAAACTATTGAGCTTGCAGCCCATTGCACCACCAGAGCCCCTAACGTAGCACTAGCTCTTATGAAAGTGACCCAGTACTCTGTGGAGATAGATGGTAGACCTCCCAGAGCTGCCTCCGTGGTGCTGGTGTTAATGTTAGTTGTTGGGTTTTTTTAACCCTTTGAGGCCAGCGCAGGGAGAGGCGGGTGCGCTCTTTGTGGCCACGGTGAGAGTGTTGTGCACATGCTGCCTTGCCACTGGCGACAGCCCTTCGGAGCGCAGCATCCTTCCGAGGAAGTACCTGTGCCCACCTTTCCTGAGGTCAAAGGACACCACTGGGGAGACATAGCCGGGTTCTTGTTACTTAGGGCTTTCCCTGAGGGATTTGTTAGAAATAAAACTCATCTGTGAGAAGCAAATGCATTTGCATCCTAATTTTAAATTCAAGGTGTTGTTATTCTGCAAAGAGACACACCCGCTGCCATCGACTCGCTCCTGACCCACAGTCACCCGGGAGGGTTTCCGAGACTGTCATCGCTCTCCTGGGGTTTGAACCGCCAACCTTGCAATCGAGAAGCCCTGGGACACAGGATCTATGGTGACACTCTACAAAGAGCCCTGGGGCACAATGGGTCAAGAGTTGGGCTGCTAACTGGAAGGTCAGCATTTCTAACCCACCAGCTGCCCCAAGGGAAAAGGGAAGTTGTGGCCCCGTGAAGAGCGACAGTCTAGGAAACCCACGGGGCAGTTCTGCTCTGTCTCATAGGCTCGCTGTGGGTCTGAATCACATCCATGGCAGCTTTCTGTGGTTCTTGAAATCAAAGCTCTACAGCCAACAGTACCCATCGATACCACAGGCAATATACGCGCTATCACCACAAGGCCTGTCCTTGGGCCTTGCACTTGGTTTTGCTTCCCCACCCCAAGGTCAACATGCCCACAGACGGTCAGCCTCCCACCGATGGCCATCCCTCCAGCCAGGGCACCAGAGTGGCTGCTTAATGACTGAGAGCTGGGATTGCATTTGTCTGCAGGTCCTGGGGGTGCTAGTAGCTTTGTCTGGTTCGTTCCCTGTCTGCGCATTCAGACTCCGGCTGTGAGCACAGGGCCACAGAAAGGTACCTACCCCATGGCCCACTGGCGTCCGGAAACAAAACACCTTGTTTCAAAGCACCTTCCCACTTAGCAGCAGTCAATAACAGCAGCTGGCCCTCCCTCGCAGACTGAAGACTGTGGTTCTCACAGCCAAAGTTCCTGCTGCCCACCTGGCTGCCTTCACATGCCTTCTGGGCAAGATGGGGAAGAGGTAGCCCGATGAGCAAGCTCCAAGGCCAGGTTACTGCCCTTGGGGCACGTCTTTCCCCTTGGTGCGTGGGAAGCCTGGTGGTGGCCTGCCATTTCAGCACACATTGTGGGAGTGCATTGAAGAGTAGTGTGTATTCAGGTGTGTTCAGGGAGCTGGCTGCACAGTGCTGTCCGGCCATCCTCTGCTCATGGGGACAGGCTGTGACGAGAACTGTGCTTGGAAGCTGGGTGTGGGGAAGAATCTCCCTCACCCGGAGAGCAGATCACAGGTAACGAGAATTACACGAGACCAGGCAAGTCACAGCACCTAGCATAGCAGCCGACACCCGCGCTGAGTGGTCTGTGAGCAGGGCACCCCTCCCTTTCTCTCTAGGGCCTCTACACGCAGCACAAAGGACGCGTGTATGAACACTACGGAGCAAGTGTTGATGGTATAGGAACAAGCCCTGGTGTTGCCTTGGGTTCAGCATGGAGCTGATGTCTGTAAGACGTCAGCCTCAGAGCCCCCCAGGGCCGTTTCACTCTGTCCTGTAAGGTCACCGTGTGGTACAGTCGACTCAATGACAGTGAGTGTGGCAATCTGCTGGGATTGTTTGTGAAATCTGCCCTCTCTGTGCTCTTAAAAAGGGCTGCACACTGGGCCATGGATGGGGCCACAAGCTTGAGTGACTAGCATTGTGCCTCACAGGGGGCGCCTTCCCAGGTGATGACTCTTGTTCCAGAAGACGGTCTCTGTGCTGATGTCAAGGGAACCACATCAGCTCGAATGAGCCCTCAGCTCTGTGACCAAACCCCAGAGCAAAGCCGCAGCCCCAGACAACGGGTCCAGCGGCTCTGTAGCACTGGACTTTGTCCCTCCAGCAGCTGCCAGGCTGCAGCCATAGGCCCCACTCAGCAGCTGAGCGAGTGACCACTGGCCAGGGCCTCTCGCTCACCTCACCCTTGAGAAAGGCTTTCCCCAAACAGCGAGCAGACTCACGTCCCGACTCTGCGCCCCTCCTGGTCGTCAGTCCTTTTCGCTGAACGCTGGGTCCTCTGGGTGGCTCTGCACCGTGGCGTCTGCCCGGGCACTGGGTCTGGGGTGAGGTGCCCCGGCCTTCCCCACTGTCACAGTAACCCCCTGTGTTCTCTCCGCCCCTGCAGGCCTCGTCTGCATGAAGTCCAGCACGTCAGTGGTGGAGCTGGTGATGTTGCTCTGCTCCCAGGTATGGCTCCCCACCACCACCACCACCCACACCCCCAAGTGCTCACGCCAATGTGGAAACATGCCTGCCCCTCCCCCTCCTCTGTAGCCACCGAGTCTCTCACCTGGTTCACACAGGTTTGATGCCCCCCTTATCATGCGTCACTGTGAACCACGGCTGCTGCTTTCTGCCAGCTGCCCACACCACTCGCACTGCCATGGAGTCTCTCCCGACTCAGGAGAGATGCAGTCTTGGTCATCCCTCAGGGCAGGTAGTCCCCCCTTCCTCCCTACGTTAGCCGTGTGCCTCCCATGGGTGGGCCTGCGCAAGTCACCTTGCGGTAGCATTTCTCTTTTGGGGTGTCTTTTGTACAAATGCACCCAGGAGAGTGCTCAGTATTTCTGCACACCCCTGAGCATCACTGACCAGCTCTGTGCATGGAATTGTTCTTGTTGGGGGGTCCCTGCTCTGTCTCATCACTTTCACAAGACACTTTCCTGGTACCAGAAGTGGGGCCCACCTGCTCTGCCAACTGCTGGTGGCCCAAACAACCAAGGAACTGGGCCAGCAGCTGTCTGGTGTCCCCTCTGCCTGCCACCTGAACTACAAGGCAGCCGCACCCTTTCCTGCTGCTGACCCGACATCTCCCCCAACCAACACCGAGTCCCCAGTAAGCAAGGGCATGAACCCCATTGATGCTTTAACCCGCTGGCAAGGAGACAAGGAACAACAGGCACCACAAAGCAGGGCGCAGCTTACCTGTCTCCGGGGCCATCCTCCAGGAGTGCCTGCCGGCCGAGGGGCCCACCAGCCGCCAGCTGCCCTGCAGGACTCGTCTGCACGCCGTACAGCCTTTGATGTGGCGTCTGGGCCCCTACACTGGGCCTTACAGCGGGCTCCTGGCAATGCACAGCCTGCACCCAGCCCCAGGCCTGTCCCCAGCCCGGGTCCATGCCGCTCTGAGCTGGAGAAGGAAGGAGTGGGGCTTTCGGCCTGCGCTCTCTCTTTGATGCCTCCTCCTTCTCAAATCGCAGGTCTAACATGACTCATTTACTGGCTCCGGAATTCCTGCCATTAGGGGCTCGAGAGATGAAACTTTGCCTCCGATATTGATCGGGAGGAAGAGCGAGAAATTTAAGCTCTGCGGGCAGCATTCTCTCTCCTTCTCTCTAATTTCCAATGGAGCCCTGTGATAAATAGACCTCCGATTTGATTTTTGAGTTTGCATTTTTAAATTATTCAGAGTGAGTGTAAATATTTCAGGGGGTTAATTGACTGCTGCCCCCCTCATCTCCGAGACAGAGGAGACACTCCTGATGCTGAGAGGCGAAGGCCAAGTGTGGTTATTTTGAGACAGTGATTTCCACAGAAGAGATTTCAGGAAAACAAAAGCAGCCCCTTCCTCTCCTTGTGGACCAGGGGCACTTGAGCCGCAGGGGGGACAAGGACACCAAGCATGTCGCTCCTTGCTTGTTCCAGGGCTGGGGTGGAGCAGAGGAAGTTCAGGGGAGCAGCCCTCTCTCCAACGCTGTTCACAGAGAAGCCCATTAGCAGGCAGCCCAGCAGGGAGGCCCAGGAATAGCTCCACTCAGGCTCCCTGGAGGGCCTCTTGCTGCAGACCAGCTGGAGGTGGCTCTGTGCCCAGCACTTTGTGCGGGTCTCGCTATGCTAGCCTGAAAACCCACTGGGCTCCAGTCACTGCCGACTCCCAGCCACCCCACAGGCAGAATAGGACTGCCCGGCGGGTCAGTCTCCAGGGCAGCCATGGTTCCTGGAGCAGATGGCCTCATCTTTCCCCTTCAGACATTCTGGGTGAGCTCGAACTGCTGACCTTGGGACTAACCATCACCAGTGCGAAGGTGTTTGGAAGCAGACCTATCAGTATTGCTAACAGAGTGGAGGCTGAGTAACTGGCTTGTATCTAGTTCCGTGAGCTACGTGTTGGGCTGCTCACTACAAGGCCTGCAGTTCAAACCCACCACCCACTCCTCGGGAGAAGGTGCAACTGACTGCTCCCAAGAAAACTGACAGCCTCAGAAATGCTGGGCAGGGTGGCTGTGGGCGACCCTGGAGTGTGGGCATTTCCCACAGGGGCAAGTGCCACAGCCATACCCACACTGTGACAGCACTCATACAGGACTCAGGTGTCCCACGCAAAGGGAGCTGTCTATATTACTCATGTGTTTAAAATGTGCTTGTTCTGTTTCCACTGATGGGAGAATCAGTAGTAAGTCAGTGTACCCCTGTTCTGTCTCTCACCTGCTGCCACCCGCCTGGTGGCTCTCTGTGCTGCTCACAGTGGGCAACACCAGCCAGAAGCCCGCTGGGCCAGCAGCCCCCCTTCCTTCTCCCGGGATCCTCCCAGCTGCCTATGCTTGCTGTCTAGAATGTGGTCTGAATTTACATGAGATCGTGTTACGAATGTCTGAAGGTACATGACGAGGATAATTCAGTTCATATGCGCAGCCTTTTAAACTCCAAGGGGGATGCCATCAAGTCTGCCCCCAACTCACCCCCACAGTGGAATTTGAGGTCTCAGAGGAAAACGTATTTGAAGTTATAAAAATGCTCCTCTATTCAAAATATCGTGTTTGGTTTTTAAGAAGGCGTAGTTAGCACCGTGAGAAAGGCATGTGTACCCCACAACCACCAAGATCGTTTTCGGATTACTTTCCTGTAGTCTGCATCCCTCCCTTATGACCCCGCTGGGGCTGGGGATTAAGAATTAATGCTTGTATTAATGTTACAGTTAATAGCATCTTTAAAAACTAGCTTCCTCGTCTTTGGGGAGAAGGCGCTAAAGGAAAGTGGTTCCTACGTGCTGTGTGTGTCCGAGTGGGGTGTGGGTGAGTGACGTGGTTTCCTGCAGGCCCCTCTGCACTGGCCCAGGGCCCGGCCTGCACTCTGCTGCCGTGGCTCCCCGTTACCCTCTCAGTCTGCATTGTGTTTTCATTACATTCTTCGCAGTCCATTGTGTCCCTTGATGAATAGCAGATTTCGTTCCCCAAGTCCACTTTTCTAGGTACCTTAATAGTTTCTAATTATTTCCAGATTTTTTCCCCCGGAAATCTCCATCAGGAGCACTCCAAGAAAACGGGAGTGACGCGATCCCATAGGATTCCCTGCGCTTTCCCAAGTAAATCTTAGCAGATGCCACTTCTGTTTTCCGGTGCCTTCCCTGTCCAGAGGGAGGGCTTTGTAAAGTGCGGCCCTTCCTGTAGGTAAAGTGCTTTCAGACCTGGGCGCAATGCTGCAGGGCACCTTTAAGAGCCAGCCGCGACCTCCTTCTTCATCGGGGGCTGGCATCATGGCATCATGGCGCGGCAGACAGGGTCACGCACGCGAGTGAGTGGTGCTGTGGTTTGTGCGTAGGCTTTACTCTTCACCAGATGTGCCTCCGAGACTCACAGAAAGGAAGGCTTTGGGTGACTTCCAGGACTTGTCACACAGCACTGATAAAAGAACCCCACTGAGACCCACGCCCTGTCAACCGGCTCAGCCTCTGCACAGCTCCACTCTGATTGTGTCCGCCAACCAGAGCAGTGTAGTCACGTGGTATGCAAAGCACAAGGCCTGCCTCTTTCTTGCTATCTCTGTCTTCCTTCCTTCTTTCCTAACTTCCCGCTTTCCTTCCTAACTGCCTGCCTGCCTTTCTAAATGGAATGATCCTAAACTTGAGGTAGATACAGTGACAAGCTGACAATGGGCACCTACTAAAGAGACCTGATCCGTGACCGTCTGGTCGATTCTAGCTCACAGGGACCCTGGGCAGGCTTCTCAGGACTGTCGGTCTAATCTGTGCAGGCGCAGCTAGCCTGGTCTCTGCCCTGAGGAGCGGCTGGTGCCTTTGAAGCGGACCCCTTGCTGTGAGCAGCCAAGAGTGCCCAGCAGGCCTCCACCATGGAGGGAGGCCCAGTCCAGAGTAGTCACTGAGAAGTGCTGGGGCTGATGGAATCTGGGGCTGTGCTGTGTACCAACCCCTCCATTCATGCGGTGTTTGAGGCTTCAGTGTGCTTTCCTTTCTCAGGAAGATTGTGAGTATCAGAAACAAGGTGTGGGATCGGTGTTTTTATCTTGCCTCTGTTGAAACACCAGTCATTTCTCAGCATTGTGTGAACAAGTGTCCCACGTCATTTGACTTCTCAATTTGTCTATTGTTTTTCAAGTTAATTAATAATGGATTATTATAACGTGAGGAGCCCTGGTTGCATAGTGGTTACACACTGGGCTGCAATCCTCATGGTCATCGGTTCAAAACCCCCAGAAACTCTTGGGAGGAAGACTAGGCTTTCTACCCCCATACGCAGCTCATCTCAGAAACCCACATGGGTCGCTGTGAGTCAGCACTGACTCGCCGCCAGTGAATTTCATTGTAATGTCACAGCATACACTTGTGTACTTGCGTTGTGGAACGCATACAGGTGGTTAATGATGCACTGACAGTTGATAAGCAGTTACCTAGTTAGCTGGAGGTGTTAGCTCTGAAACTAGACGTCCTCCGAGATCCGGTGCACGCTGAGAAACTCACCAGCCAGACTGCCCGGTGGCTGTGGTGACCGTGACTTAGAAACAGTGGGCTTTCCAGGGAAGCCTTGCTGCTGGGGGACTCGCTGCAGAGGGACTCTGCCTGCTTGGTGGCTATGCCCCAGGTGCTCTGGCCAGGCAAGGATGGAGCCTGGTGCCTGCAGAGAAGGTGAGGCTCCTGCCCTGAACACGGGTGGGTGGTGAAATGCTGACATCTTGCTTTTGATGTTTGCCCAAGAGGCTGCGGTGTGCCTGGAGAGCCCTCGTGCTGCAGGCCAAGCCAGCAGACACCGTCCTGGACAGGGAGGCTGTGGCAGGACCCGAGGCGAGTGGGTTCAGGGTCCCTTGGGGGCCGCTGCCTCCTTCTCCTCGGCCAGAGACCAGAGCACCTTCCGGATGAGCCTCCCGGTCCCTTTGTGTCTTCAGTGTATGAGAATTTGGAAAGAATGGGAGCCCAGGTGACACGGGTGGGTAAGCTACTTGGATGGCAGTTCTGG